AATGTTCCATGTGCAATGTTCACTACGCCATCTGCCAGATGACATGGCCCCTCAGTCCAGTTGAATGACGTTCTCCTCACCACTGGGGTTTGTACTGGTGTTTGAGATTCCAGATTTAAATACAGACTTTGCAAAAAAAAAAAAAAATAGTAGCAAACTATTTCCAAATTCTTGAGAACTCCTCAGCCAGATCCAGGTGATTACAGGGGGCTGGAGTGTGACAGGGAGAGAGGATTTTGTGTGGAGGACTTTGGGAGAGTAGAAAAGCATGTGTTTGGAGAGGTGGAGCGAAGGGACTCTGTCTCTCTCCTCTAGCCGGGTGGGAGAAGAGTTTCAAAGTGGCTTCTTGGAGAACTGGACATGAGCCACCGGGACGAGGAGAGGTGGCAGGTCATAGTAGACTGAGGTCAGTCTGACTCCCACCCAGGAAATCTGGAGGGTGAGGGACAGGCTGAAAAACTGTTTTTTGGCAAAAAGTCAGGAGATTTACTGCCACATTTTCATAGGTAAATGATGTGAGTGATCCCCGTAGACCAGGACAAGCCAGGAGCAAGGGGGAGCTGGTTGGGGTCATCTTGTGGCCTCTCCAAGGGGACAAGTACATTTTAGTAGCTGCGTACTGTGGGTAGACAGCTTGCTAAGGGGACACAGATGGGTCCCAAGTCACCCCAGCATTGAGATGCATTGACATGAAACAAAGACTGTATGCAAGACGTTCTCAGTGATGGGGGAATCTTCAAAGAGCTCATGAACGTGTCCTCTCTGGGCCCCTCTGGCCCCAAGAGGGAGAAGCCAGAACAGGATGTCACTAAGCCAAGGAAAAACGTCCCCCTGCTCTTTTTTCTTCTCCGTCCTTTCTGTCGAAGCCCAGGGGCAGAAGGCAGAGTTAGCGAGCTGAGACAGGAAGTGGAAGGAGAGTAAAGAAGCCAACTACACTCTTTCCCTGAAGGAAGGTGACCTCACTTACGTTGAAATTACAGTTTGTTATTCCAGGGAGTGGAACGTCCTACATCAACGTAAGACTGGTTTGGGTAACTTAAGGTGACCGTAGAACTATTCCTAAAAGTAAGCAGAATGTCACAGGCCCTGCTAAGCTTTCATCCAGTGGCAGTGGAAAAACATTCATTAAATAAAAAGTTTAAAGGTAGTAAAAGACAAAAAGAAAGAAGCAATACCATGACATGTCATTGGGAAAGCCCATTTAACATGTTGGCTGAATTCTCATATCGAAAATGTAAATTCCTTTGATAATAACGTAACCCGTAGTAGAAGTGACAAACCAGGTCCACCTCTCATCGTGCTGGGATTCCGCCATCAGATACTCAAACACAAACACAGAAGAAACACCCCTTTTATTTTCGGGTTTCTCTCGTCATTCCTGGCTCAGGGTGTGTCACACAGCTTCATGTCGACAGCCAGGCAGAGAACAGCATGAACCTGGGGACAGAGATGAGTGGCAAATAGAAGTGGCTAACAAGGTGTGACATTTGCTTTGGAAACACATTAAAATTAGGGGTTTGGATGCAGTCAGGGACTAGGGGCCTGCAGTACTCTTGCCACGAACAGAAACAAATATGTACCTAAAGAATGATTTATTTCTATCACAGCTAAAACTCAGTCTAATCTAAGACAATTTACCGTTTTTCTCTGTTGTTAGCACTTGGTGGAACAGGAAGAGTGGGTCAGTCCGAGGGCTTTGCAGAAGACCGACAGTCATTCTGCTCATTGAGCTAATCACTTTGCCTTTCTTGCAATCGGCACTACTGTTCCTTTTGTCATGTGTGTATTCTACATGAGATTTTGGGTTTAAACCTCCATCCTAGTTTTAATCTCTCTTTAGAAAACGGCCAGGTGCAGTGGCTCATGCCTGTAATCCTAGCACTCTGGGAGGCCGAGGCAGGAGGATGGCTCAAGGTCAGGAGTTTAAGACTCGCCTGAGCAAGAGTGAGACCCCATCTCTACTAAAAAAATAGGAAGAAATTAGCTGCACAACTAATATACATATATACAAAAAATTAGCCAGGCATGGTGGCACATGCCTGTAGCCCCAGCTACTCGGGAGGCTGAGGCAGGAGGATTGCTTGAGCCCAGGAGTTTGAGGTTGCTGTGAACTAGGCTGATGCCAGGGCACTCTAGCCCGGGCAACAGGGTGAGACTCTGTCTCAAAAAGAAAAAAAAAGTGAATTAAATAGAAAGCCTTGGCCTATGCTTTCAATATCATTCCGCAAAGTTGTACTGTTCTCCCTACACATTCAGCTGATGAACATTTATACCTTAGCTGAAAATAACTTCTGATCTCTTTGTTGTTAGGGTATCTCACTCAACAATGTTTTGTACTTTTCGAATTCTGTTAAGTTCCAGTTCTTCTGAAGGTTTACAAACTAAGTGTGAGATAAAGGCCAGAAAATCAACTTCATGCCGTGTTTTGGATGCCTCATCATTGCAGTGTACACATTGACATAGTATTTACTACTTATCCCCAGGGTACTGATAAGCATTTCTTTTTCCAGTTATTAGCCAGTGACTTAATCACCTATGTTCAGGGGCTTTGTCTATATTTCTTTTCTTCTTTTCTTTCTTTCTTTTTCTTTTCTTCTTTTCTTTTCTTTTTTCTTCTTTCTTTCCTTTCCTTTCCTTTTCTTTTTTTTTTTTTTTTTGAGACAGAGTCTCACTTTGTTGCCCAGGCTAGAGTGAGTGCCGTGGCATCAGCCTAGCTCACAGCAACCTCAAACTCCTGGGCTCAAGCGATCCTCCTGCCTCAGCCTCCCGAGTAGCTGGGACTACAGGCATGCGCCACCATGCCCTGCTAATTTTTTCTCTATATATTAGTTGGCCAATTAATTTTTTTCTGTTTATAGTAGAGATGGGGTCTCGCTCTTGCTCAGGCTGGTTTCGAAGTCCTGACCTCGAGCAATCTGCCCGCCTCGGCCTTGTCTATATTTCTGTAGGGTCTTGGATCCTTTTTTCTATCTGCTCAGTCCGCTATCATTTTAAACACCAAAATACCTGACCAAAGCAGGCCCTCTACGTGCTATATCTGATCAAAGATCACATAAGGCAAGCTTCCAGGTAATCTGAAAACTCTCCCGCTCTATAGACGGATGTTGTTCTAAGTCTTCCATAGATAAGGACAAAAGGGAGATATAGACACACGGTAGGAGACAGCTAAAATTAGGAGTCTCTTCTCTAAACCTGCCTTCTGCAGTGACTAACTGGCCACTGGGGAGCTGAAAATGTATTGGATTGTTGCACCTCCAGGGCAGGGACTTTAGTCATCTTTGTATCTTTAGCTCATAGAACAGTACCTGGAAATATTAGGTGTTTGATAAATTTTTGTTAAATGAGTTTATGAAACCAACACGTAAAGAATGTGGAATAGAAACCAAAGTCTTAAAGTTGACTACAAGTCAAGCTTCCCCCAACCTCCAAATAAACAGTCAGGAGAATTATGACTAGTTCTGAATTAAGATAAGGAGATTCGTGAAAGCAAGTTTTTGCTAGGATTCAACCATTATCACAGAGTCTTAACAATTAAAGAGAGAACCAAGGTCCATTATATGGACCCCCTATTCTTCATATGCAAACCAAGAATGAACAATCTACCTTTTCTGTGTGCCCGATGGAAAAACAAAACACAACATTTGAATCTGAGATGTCTTGCCCAAATCCAGGTGTTGCTATTCACTTTCAAGTTAAGAGCTTGATTACAAGAGAAACTCTGTTGTAATGGTTCATGAAATTAGAACACATTTTTAAGCATGGCAATGCCTTTTGTTCAAGAAACGCCATGTTTTGATATTTTCAAAATGATGCATGTCCCCTAGGTGTACTCTTGCCACTTTTGGCCAGTAGTTTGTCCAAGGAAGTCTCATGCAAGTGGCAATGTGTGAGGAGGTAATGTAGCCCGTCCCCAGGGTCCCCACAAATGCAGAGGGGTAAAAGGAGACAACATAAGAGCTTTCCATAAGTTCTATTGCTGGGCGTTAGCCAAGCAGAGGAATGCTGCAGGGACACAAACTCGCAAAGAAATAAGAACGCAATACACATAAAAGGGAGCAAAATGCAAAGGAAGTAGGAGGCAGGCGTAATTCCCTGGAGACCTGGGCAATTATACCACATTTAGGAAATCAAACTCCCTGTGATCTTCACCATATAAATAGATTTTGAGAGGGAAAAGGCAGCTGTTCCATCATACCTCTGATGTGAACTGGCAAGTATTTAATAGTTCTTGTTTGTTTTTGCTATATTCAGTAGACCAAAATGAGATCACAGATTGCTAGTTTTTGTTACAGTTCACTTCTCAGAAGATTAAATAGTGGCAGAGGAGAGATTCCAGAATATATGGTCCTTTGAAACAGTGTCAAATTTTAAAAGATTTGTCATTAAATTATCCAAAGGGTTGAGAAAGCAATCGATAAATAATCATTAAGCCTGTATTGCAACACACAGTACCTTGATAGTGCAGCTATACAGTTAAACAAAAACCAGGGGTGGGGAAGAGGAAAAGAAAAACTATACAATCTTTTATTGTTGGTAATACAAAATCATAGCATGTTCTACTTTGTAAGAATGAATAAAAATTGTTCGTATATTTAAAAAAAGTCACTTGGAAAAAGCAGCAAGCCTAGTAGTTTACAGTTTTGTTTCTTGGGTCTTCAAAATGTTTGGTTTGCTTTGTACCAGGAAGCAGCAGGGGAATGAGGGGAGCCGTGGACATACACGTGGATATGTGGAGATGGAGTCAGGGTGGTTCCCAGAGAGACAGGGCCCTGCACGTAGGGAAGGGGGGTGGGGAGCAGGCAGGAGGGCCAAGCAAAGAGAGTGGGATGGAGTAGCAGACAGAGCTAACTACACGCCAGGCAGAGACAGCCCACCCCGGCCTCAAGCATTGTGCGGGTTTGTTTTTTGCAGTGCTTGGCAATGGCGAGGTGAACACTTTGGAATAACAACCAGCACAAATCAAAATGAATGAGATGCATTAACATTTTCATTGTTTCTAGGAGAGTGGGCGCTCCCTTTCTCTTCCTGGACGATCGGTCCCACCCACCACTGCTACATCTCCTTGGGTACACCAGCCTGCCTGCGCCCACTCTAGCAAACCAAGCGTGGGGCTAGAGAGAGCGAGCAGGAGGCCAACTCCTTGGGAAGCAGCAGCGAAGTCTCCTCTTGGTCTAGTGGACGACGCCTTCAGACCCAGAAACATGCAGGAATCCATCGTGGCCAATGTGGTCTCCGCAGCTCGAAGGAAGGTGCTCCCAGGGCCCCCAGAGGACTGGAACGAGAGACTGTCCCATGCTCCTCAAAGCCAGAAGGCCAACGTGGGCTGGTGTGGAAGGGAAGAGTACAGTGTCACGTCCCTAGCCAATAACGTGTCCACCAACTCCCAGTACGGTTCACAGGTGCCATATGCGTGTTACAGGCAGGCCTCCAGAAATGATTCTGAAATCATGTCCATGGAGACCAGGTCTGATTACTCTTTTCCGGTAGCTGATTACAACTACAACCCACACCCACGAGGATGGAGACGCCAGACATGAAAGTTAGAACTGATCCTATGCCAACTGATTTTTTTTTTTTTTCTTAATGCTCCTTCCTAGGGTTTTTTAGTTTCCTGATAGAGTTAGGTTTGCTTTGGGTTTGGCCTGTTCTCATAGATCACATCTGAGCTTGTGTGTCTATGTTTGTATCACATGCACATGTGAGTGTGAATCACTTCCTTATCAGCTGGTGGACAGAGCATTTCTTTAAAGAGAGAATTCACTTTCTGCATTGCTGTGCTGGCACTTATATGTAATTCATAATCTCAGTGCCATTCATATGGGGTAGTTTATGCAACTGAATTCTGCTCAATTAAAATGAAACTAAGTATTTCTTCCATGTGCCTAAATCCAGTAAGGAACTAACAGAATACGGGGTACTAATTATCACTAGCTGTAATAGCCAGGAATATAACATTAGAGAAATTTTCAGTGGGAGCATGCCAATGAGTAATGCTTACATAAAAAGGATTTCCTTGGTGTTATTTGAAGTATTTCTCTGAAATAATTTTTTTAATCTAATAAAATTCAGATTTTTTTTTTTTTAGAATTGAAATATGGAAGTTCTCAGAAAGAAATACATGAGAATACGATTACTATACATTTCAGAAGGATTTTTGATAAATAGTGTAATGTGTGGGGAATAGAAAGATTTAGGTATATGATTTATTTCTAATCTATTTAAAGCCAATAGCCTGAGACAAGAATCGACTCAGTTCAGGTGTCCTCGTGCGTCAAATGAGAATATTGGATTATCTAATCTCTTAGATCCTTAACAACTCTGATATTCTGAGATTTTTCTCATTAACAAAATGTCCTTTGACGCATCGTTTCTTTTTGTCGTTCATCATGTAAATAAATATCAGATTCCATTGAGGAGTGGATTAGGTAATTAGTGTCACTGTATGTCTCGTTAAAAGTCCCCAAAGGAATTGTCAGGTGGCAGGCTTTGTGTTACGTGTTACGTGGAGTGAGGGTTGATGTAAAGATAAAACTATTAATGGATTTAAGGAAGTGGTAGATGAATACACGCATCTGTTATTATGCAACTGTAGGTCATGACCATTTATTTGGTTATGGAAAACATGCCACAGAAGCCTATGTGGCAAGTGGTGCTTCTTTAGAAAGTCGCCATTAGGACGTTCAAAGGAAGTGGAACAGCTGCTTCCTTAATCCCATGACCTGTCCCTGTGAGCCTGACCATGACGCCATCAGATCAGACACCTGCTCCTCGCTGCCATGCCCACAACGTGTTCAGTACGAAAAAATCCAAAGTATTTCACATCCGAAGCAAGTACCTACAATATTTTTAAATGAAAAAAAACTTGAGTATTTAGAACTTTCTTAGTTTTTTAAATATGGTAATTTTGCTTTAAAAAATTATTAACTTTTAAACTCTTGAACTTATCATTATGGCAGTCTTTTATCATTATGATAGTTTCTTTTAAAATTAAAAAAAAAAATGCCAGGGTGCAAGTGGTCAAGGCCTTATCTTGGAAGTAAAAAAATAAAGAGTTGGAAAAAAAAAATCACAGTACCTTCTATTAGTGATAGAACCAGGCAGATACTAATTTGTTCAGTTATGGAGAAAAGAAAGAATAAATATTTTCTAAAGTTATATTGTTAGATTATACTAAATTGACGTAGTGCTTATTCTCTTAATGTATAATATATGATTATTGACTCCCAAGAGTTCCTATTGTATCTTAAAACATAATGCCTGGTATATAGTCAGTAAATCCTCAGAAATCCCCCCACACACACAAAAAAATCTTTACTTTGTTCAAAATTTATTATAGTGATTGAATCATTTTAGATTTAAATGTTTTAAGATACGGGAGATTTAGCAGAAAACATTTTGCTTCTGGGGGTCACATTCTATTTTGTTGATTTCTTTTATAAGTACTAGGAATTATTTCCATCAGTTGGTCATATTATTCAATACAATTTCCAGTAGACTCAAAATAGAAACAGATGTTTTAAGCTTAAATATTATTATAAAACTGACTCCTCCCTCTCTGCACGTCCTAGGTTGTCTGGTTATGGGCTGTAGTAAACTATCTGAATCTGTTCTAGACATTAAGAAAAAGACACTACAGGCAGGAAAGCTGCACATTCTTCACTCACAAGGAAAAAGAACATCCCATAATTTTAATAGAAATCAATGCTTTGAGAAGTCGTACTTTGAAGATATTACTTCTAAAAAGCAAATGTGCCATTGTTAAATCATCATAAAGTATACTATGGGTATTTTTCTCCAGTCTACCTGCAAATGAATGCAGTTAGATTGCTTGCATTCAAGCTAATGGTTTAGACACAACACCTGCCACCCTGAGATCTGATACCCATGGGTGGGCAGATCTAGATAACTACTGTTCTCGCAAAAATAAAACGACTGGTCTCATCTTGCAAATGACAGCATGTGTAGATAAGCGCTGTTGCTTTGTAAATACACAACGCGTTTGCTGTAAGACACTAGTCCATTAGCAGCAATCACGCAAGTAGAAAGAGTTCAGGTTTGCTGTGGATTATAAAGCTTTCTCTAAAAGTAGAGTACACCAGTCATAGGGACACTCATTTGGCACTTTCCCTCCCTCTTCAGTTTAAACATTATGTTACTGCATGTGTATTAAGTGTCAGTTATTAAGATTATTTAAAGTTTGTCTTGTATTTGGAGTTTTATAAGTGCACACGTTCTAGTCCATTTATCTGCCATGTGAACATTTCTTGTTTGTGTGTTGGCACCATCACACACATTGGACAGGGCGACCTATTAGGGCTCAAGCATATGCATGTATTAATGACTTGAAACTTTGGCTAAAAAATTATATCAAATAGGCTTACTTGTTATCATTAGAAACAAGTTAGAGAAATGTTTCTTAGGAGGAAGTAGATTTTCACATTTGATTTTTTTTATTTAAAGTAGAAGTATCAACACTGTCCACACTTTTCTATTAAAAGAAGACAATGTTCTACTGATTATTAGATTGATGTTTCCACCTCTGTTTATTCCCAAAAGACTATATTTGAAAGACATATACTGAAAATCAAAATTATACCAGTAATAAATGTATCCTGAAAATCAAGTTAAGGAATATTTTCGTTTTTACTTACCAAAAAAAAATTGTTTTGAATTACTCTTTACCCCAAAGAAAGTTTACTCTTATCTACTACATATTTTTAAATTTTAATTTTCCATGATAGCTTCCAGGCATATCAAAAGAATTTCATGCTGAATGGGGTAACCTTTTAACTGTAACATTTCAAAACTTTTTTTAAAAAAACTTGCCTGAGAATACAATTAATTTCACATGTGAGTGAAGAAGTTCAGGATTCAAACATAGTTTAATATTATTCTTAACTAATGCTTTCCTTTAATATATTAAGAATCTGTCCTAAGCACAAGGACAGCCCATGGTAGCATGACTTGATAACATGTTGGTTGAATTTCTATAACCACTCTGGGCTCTCACTCTAATCTGCCATGACCTGTGTTATACTGAAGCCCTCATTAATAAGCCAAATTTAAATAAAGATTTTTAAAAGTGGCTTTGGCTTTCTACACAATATTAAAACTATGAGCTGGAATATGAGCTTCCTGGTCAATTGGTATCATCTAACACATCTTTTTGACACTTTCTGGGGGGCAAATTCTAAGTAAAGTGGTTGTTTTGGGTATTCTAATAAAAAGGATTTTTTTAAAGGACCAGCACTTGAAAACACACTTCTAGAATGAGGAATGTTTTAAGATTTAAACAACTTAAGAGATAGTAGTACTAGACTGTCTTTAGATGCTAATGCTATATAAAAAGCCCATTTTTTCCCCCTGAGGAATTCCTAGTGTTTAGTAAACTATAAATTTCAAAACATAGAGGTAGGTAAGTGTCACCTCCACACAGAGCTGATAGGCAGCCCGAGGCAGGGAGAGTTCGATCCGGGATATCCTCTGAAGAAGAGACAGCAGAAGGGCCTCAAGACCAGCCTCTGTCTCCCCGGCCCACGTGACAATAGAAGCATCTAGTACAAAGTGCTCCTTCTCAGCAGTTTTGGAAAATCACTAGATCTGTGATTTCTCAAATCTAATAGAGCAGTATTTTTCATGGAGGGGCATTTCATTTTTTATAACTTTATAAAACGTGACATTTTATGTTTTTAGAAAGGATCTGGCAATCTCCACCGACCAAATAAATATCAAGCAGTTTTATGAAGGGCACTTAAACAGGAAATGCCTCCACAGTATTTTGCTCTGATATTTTTTCCCTCCCTCTAAATTTGTGGCGAAGATTTGCTATCACCTATAGCACCTTTCTTTCTCCTCCTTGACTTTTCTGTCGCCGTCATAAACTTTCCTGTCTTCCCACCTCCACCAAAAGGAAAAAGCTTCACTGGCTTCCTCAGCATTTCACAATTTATATATTTCTTACTTGAGGGCCTGCAAAGGCTTTGTAAAATAAAGCAGGACTGCCTCATCATGATGATTTGAATAAATGTGAGGTTTGCTCGAAATCACCAAACATATTAGAATAGGTTATAGGTAGGAAGAAATGCACAATTTTATTTAAGCCCAAATTTTCCCTGAAGAGGCCCATCCACCTTTCTGCGAACGTAGAGATAGACAGGGCCTCCTGCTTAGTTGTTCTTCACGTCACCTTTTCTAGAAAAAAATTATTCATTTGGACAATTGAGCTGTAAAGTGTCTTCTTCGGGGATATTCCTTAGAACACAGGTACAGTGCATGTGTTGGGACGCAAAATGCCATCCTTTGTCCCACTCCTGCCTCCACTTGCACAGAGCAGCCAATCTTGAGGCGACAGAGAAAACCAGAGCCCAGTGCTGATCCCTGGCCTGTCCAGACCGGTCTCTTTTCTACAGCTTGGCTTGGTAGTTTTTCTGGTTAAGCTACATCTCGTTCATACCACAGCTTTCTGCCAGACCTGCAGAGAACAGAGGAGGATAACAGCTCCCAAATAAATAACAAGGTGGATACATAGTTTCCCATAACTTGTTATTATTTTGCCAACCAAATTCCTCTTTGTCCTTGAATCCAGATGCACCCTCTGGTTGTCACCTACAGTAACTACGGTGTGATTAGCAGCCATACAAAGTGCCTATCTATGGTTTATTGATGTTAACACTAGAAAGCTGAGAAGAGGAAAAAGAACTCTAATTTTGTGATAACGTAGCCAAGGTTTAATGCCCAACTTAGCCAAATCTCATGTCCGGCATGAACTTGTTAAAGAAAATAACCAAAAAAGGGGCCAGAAATTTCACGCCCTGCCGTGGTTTTCAGGTTGTGGTGTTTGAAAATCTTACGTTTCTAATGGAGACTCAAATGATTTTTCTGTAATATGTTTGAAATAAGCAATGTATCTGAATTTCTCATCTTGCATAAAAAGGAAGACATTGAAAAATAAATAAGAATTAACCTTTCAAGGTTTAAAATGCTATTATGTAGAATAAATCAGAGGTACAAACAAACTCTATAGATATTTTCCTTGAGGAAGTTGCACACAAAGAATACATTTGGCTTTCACTTTTGACAACATGAATAAATATTTTTCTCAAAAATAAGATGCATATGAATTTGTAACATGGTTTTATTTTATCATTACCTTAATCACCTCCTCAAGACGCCACCTCTTTTTTTTTTTTTTTTTTTTTTTTTGAGACAGAATCTCACTTTGTTGCCCAGGCTAGAGTGAGTGCTGTGGCATCAGCCTAGCTCACAGCAACCTCAAACTCCTGGGCTCAAGCGATCCTCCTGCCTCAGCCTCCCGAGTAGCTGGGACTACAGGCATGCGCCACCATGCCCTGCTAATTTTTTCTCTATATATTAGTTGGCCAATTAATTTTTCTATTTATAGTAGAGACGGGGTCTCGCTCTTGCTCAGGTTGGTTTCGAACTCCTGAACTCAAACGATCCGCCCGGCTCGGCCTCCCAGAGAGCTAGGATTACAGGCGTGAGCCACCGCGCCAGGCCATGATAAAACCTTTTAAATGAATCTATCCAATCTCAGTCAGCTTTGACCAAACAAGATTTTCACAATTCTTCTAAAATCTTTCTTTAAAAAAAATTGTGCCACTGATATGCATTATGCAATTAAGCAATTCATTTTTATTGTGCATTCTGCTCTTAGGTTGGATTTATAATTTCATGGCCTTAGATATCCAGCAGAGACAACACAAACCTGTCTGACCAGCAAAGGCAGGCAAAAAAAGAGGGGGTGGGGCACGCTGACAATTCTCAAGACATTTATGTTTTTATTTTATCAACCATTTTAAAACTAGCTTTTATTTACTGAGGATTATCCCAGGTCACATGAACTTAAAAAAAATTTGGGTCGGTTTCTATTTTCCTGAAAGTTTTGTGAACACTTAATTTGTGCGCTTGTTTACCCCTAAGCCAATTTGAGTATTTTAGTTTGGTAAAGCCAATGGAGGTAGAAAAATACCATGTATACATAACATACAAACATTAGACATATACATGTACATATACATAAACATATAGGCAGATGCAACTGGATCTTATGGCTTTTCATTTTTAAAATTTTAGCCATGAAAAAAATAACAGATGCTGGTGAGAATGTAGAGAAAGAGGAACTCTTCGTATACCACTGGTGGGAATGTAAATTAGTACAGCCACTATGGAAAACAGTATGGAAGCTCCTCAAAAAACTAAAACTGAAACCACCATATGATTCAGCAATCCCACTGCTGGGTATATATCCAAAATAAAAGAAATTAGTATATCAAAGACATGTCTGCACTCCCATGTTTATTGCAGCACTATTCACAATAGCCAAGATATGGAATCAACCTAAATGTTCATCAAGGGATGAATGAAGAAAATATGGTGTATACACACGATGGAATATTATTTAGCCGTAACAAATAATAAAATCCTGCCATTTGCAGCAATGTGGATGAGCCTGGAGGACATTATGTTAAGTGAAATAAGCCAGGCACAGAAAGACATATACTGCATGTTTTCACTCATATGTGAGAACTAAAGAAGTTGATCCATGGAGGCAGAGAGTAGAATGGTGGTTACCAGAGTCTGGGAAAGAAAAATGGAGGGAAGTATAAAGAGAGGTTGGTTAACAGGTACAAAAGTACAGTTAGATGGAAGGAATAAGTTCTCGTGTTTGATAGCACAGTAACATTAATATAGTTATCAATAATTTATTGTATATTTCCAAATAGCTAGAAGAGAAGATTTAGAATGTTCTCAAAGTAAAGAAATAATAAATGTTTCAGCTGGTGAAACATATCATAATTACCTTGATTTGATCATTACATATTGTATACATATGTCAAGCTATCACATGTACCCCATAAATATGTCCATTTATTATTCATCAATAAAAATTTTTTTTTAATTTAGTTATGAGGTAGTAAAACATAGTAACACATACTCATTCTACTTTATATTTTTAACAAACTTGTGTTACTGATAAAAATGGAACAGGTTGAATTTACCTACTTGATAAGGGCTAAAAGCCTTTTACCAATATTTGTGAGGAAGGCTTTTCAATTTTTTTCATTTGCCCAGTCTCCAAACAGTTCCTTTTTTTGCTCTTTTCAGTCTCAAGTGTTTGCTTCTGAGGGGCCCCCGAGTCCCTCGAGAGTCTGTGTCCCTAGCAGAGGGTAGAGGGCCTAAAGTTCAAGTGTCTCAAGGGACTGAGGGGCTGAAATGGGAAGGGAAAGGGTCTGGCAGGGTGGACGCAGTTGGCAGAAGATACAGTCAGCAGAGGATTGAGGAGAGAGACTTCAGGTGACAAAAGGGGTCTCCATGGGAGAAGCAAGATTCACAGAGATAACAGAGGAGCTCACAGAGAGCCAGGGATAGGAGACTTCCAGCGGGGGGAGTCAGGGAATAACCCGACTCAGAACAAAGAGCCACTTCCGGCCTAGGAGGTGCCTTTTCAAAGAAGCCTGGGTCCCTCCCCCAGCTTCAAAGAGCATACTCATACCTTAGGGATCAAAATCTGTCATTGCCAGCTCCAGTGGGTGTTTATCTGGAGCAGCGACTCAGAAGTCTGACTTATCAGTGGGTCCCCACCAGCCACTCGTGAACTCGAAG